CAAGTTGACTAATTAGCGTGTAAGTGGGTATTATTTAATAGTAGATTATATATAATCTAAAAGAATATTTAAAAAAAGATTATTATCTTTATGTAATTTATATTATAAGAGATTCTAATCTTTTATATATACAAATACTGCAATATATAGTACTTATGAAATAAACCTAAAATTCAGTCTTCAAATTCAAGTATTTGATCTCCAAATCTACCAAACTATATAATAATTAATTACTACGTATTAAATTAGAACTTTCTATTATATTAATAATATATCTAACCTATCTTACTATCTAACTTGTCACACCTCAATAGGTATTAAAATTTATATGTATATAATATACCATAGTCTAGTATTGTCATGCAGACACGAACTGGACATAGACTGAACCAGATGTCTGTATCTATATTCAAAGATATAGCGGACATTAGACATTGTCTATAAGATTGACCAATCAAATGTATCTGGCTACTTGGATATTGTTCAATGTCCGCTATAATTTTATTGGTCTATTTTTGCATATCAATATTTTTTTAAACTTAAATTTTTTAATTTATAGCAAAAATAAATTGGCCACTGTCATATTGCTGAAACCCTTATCTTTTTCGCTAGATTCGTCTAAGTTATGTTCAGAATCTGATAAGTTTTTTTTCTTTTTTTTCTGAGATTATTTTCCAAATTATTAACTTCTTTTTTTGCTTCTCTCTCTTGCTAAATTTGTTAAACTGGTGACAAGTGAGATTTGGTAACAAGTAGGTAAATGGGTGGGATTTTTTATTCAGGATGTTCAGGATTTGGTAAGTTTTTTTTTTCTTCTTTTAGATTTTTATTTTGGTTCACTAACTTATATCTTTACTCTTTTTTCTTGATAAATTCGTTTAAGCTGGTAGCAAGTGGTAGATTTTTTATTTAGAATATTTAGGATCTGGTAAGTTTTTTTTTTCTTTTTTTTTTCTTCTTTAGGCTTACTAACTTCTATTCTTGCTCTTCTTTTGTGATAAATTCATTCAAGCCAGTAGCAAATAGACTTTCATTCAGAATATTCAGAATCTAGTAAGTTTCTTTTTTTGATTTTTTTTTCTGGGTTTTCTTTCGGTTCACTAACTTCTATCTTTGTTCTTCTTTCTTGCAGAATTTGTTCAAGCCAGTAGCAAGTGGGTAAGTGGGTGGGATTTTTTTCTCTTAAGACGTTCAAGTCCTGGTAAGTGTTTTTTTTTTTTTTCTTTTTTTTTATTAGGTTTTTCTTCTGGTCTATCCTTGCTCTTCTCATAAAATATTCATTCAAGATGGTAGCAAGTTACAGATTTTTCGTTAAAGACGTTCAAGATTCAGTATGTTTTTTCTTTGTATTTTTTTTCTTTTGGGGTTATCTTGTTTTCTTTCAGTTCACTAACTTCTACTTTTTTTGCTGAATTTGTTTAAGCCAGCAGCAAATGGGTAAGTAAAAATTTTTTGTTCAGGTTTGATAAGTTTTTTGTTTTTTTTTCTTCTGTGATTTTCTTCTAGCTTACTAACTTCTAACTTTTTCTTGATAAATTTGTTCAAGTACTATGAAGAGTGAGAACCACGTTTTCCAAAAATCATATTGTATGGGAATGCAGTCACCTGATGATAAATATAAGGGGCATCCATAAATAATGTTATATACCTCCACATAGTAACCCTTGCCCCTCTAGATTATATAAAAAAAATTAAAAATCCTTATATTTATATATAAATTTTTACAAAATCTTGATTATCTTGTGACTCAGTAATCTAAATTAGATAAATTTGGTACCATTAGATTTGTCTCAATGAGAGGATCCAATGGTACCAAAATTATTTAATTTAGATTACTGGATCAAAAGATATAGACAAAAACTTTTAATTTTATAGTAATTTCATATAAAATAATATAGCCAATAGTTTTTGCCAATATCTTTTGATTCAGTGATC